GAGGTCAGGCTGCTGACAGGGCCTCGGCTCCCCGTCCGGAGACGGCCGGCCTGCAGTTTGTCTGACATCAACACGCTCCGGACGGCAGATTCCCCCCGTCCCCCCAAATTAAATCATCTCGTTAGCTGAGGTCTGGTGCCCAGACGCGGGCACCCCCTCCCCCCAGGGCCCGGGAGCAGGAGTGGGAAGGGACTCCCTGGCCAACTGCGATGGTGGCCGCGTTCCCGCCCTTCACGCTCGCCGTCCACCCCCCCGGACCCCCCGCCCGTGCGGTGGGTGCTCGGGGTGGGGCGCCCGCCCGGGGTCCCCTGCTGTCAGCCAGCGGCCTCCCCGCGCGGCCAGGAGAGCGAACATCTGCTTCAAGTCCTCTTTTATGAACACGGCTGAGCTTCCTTGAGGCTCTTATCTTTTAATTTCGAAATTCTTTGTAGCAATAACTGGAGATAATAACCGGCCGTGTTCTGGCCCCTTTAAAAAAATAAATGGGGGGGGGGAGCGGGGAGGGGCCCCGCCTGGCTTTGAACTTCTCTTTCTAATCCCCCCCGCAGGCCCCAGGGCGGGGAGGCCCCCTCGCTTGCGTTTAGATCGGCTGAGTCCCCCTCAAGGGCAGTCTGCTCCCCTGGGAGCCCTGCCCGGGTCCAGCGTGAGGGCAGGCTTATGGGAGGGCCCCCCCGCAGGCTCAGCTTCCCTCTCTAACCTGGGGACCCCCCAACCCCTTTCTCAGAGTTTCTCTCGCTGCCACCCCCCAGGAGAGGGCACCTGAATGTCCCAGACACTGGATCCTTTTCCAGGACCGAACCGCCCGGCACACGGGGGCTCAGGTCCTGGGAGACGTCATCGGGGATTTGGGGGGGTGAGTGTGATGCCCCCTCTTGGGCCCATGCCCGTCCTGCTTCCTCTAAGCCGGGGGCGGGGTAGCGGGTTAGCTGTCAACCGGTTAAAAACGCAGATTTCGTCATCAGAGAAAACATGATAATTTCAAGAGAAACATGGAAAGTGCTTTATTCAGAGTCATGTCCATCGCTGGCTACACATCCCCCATCTTTCAGGTGATTGGTGGAGACCGTCCCATAGAACTGTCCTTGTTCTGAGGCCGGACATTCAGAGGCCCAGTTTCCACGTCTTCGCACGTGTTGAAGGGCCGCTCAGAGAGCGCGTGTGCCATCGATGGGAACGGGTGGCCATCGGAAGGAGCGATACAACCAAAGAGCACACACATCAGATCGCATGTGGATCAGCACACGCGTGACTCCATCTATTGGGAAAAACCCGCGTTACTAACCGGTTCACCTGGGAAACATCAGTGGTGAGAGAGGATCATGGTTCGGCTGCCTCCTGCGCGCCCCCCACTGGGGATGAGCCCACAACCCAGGCCTGTGCCCTGACGGGGAATCGAACCCTGACCCCCTGGTTCCTAGGTCGCCGCTCAGCCGCTGAGCCACACCGGCCGGCAGACCCCTCCCCCGTTCGGTGGGGAACCTCACCCTCTCTTCTGGGTTCCCTCCCGCCCGACCTGGAGGATTCACACGACTCCGTGGCCTCCGGGGAACACAGAACCGAGAGACGATGGGCGATGCCCCGCTCAGCCGCTGAGCCACACCGGCCGGCAGACCCCTCCCCCGTTCGGTGGGGAACCTCACCCTCTCTTCTGGGTTCCCTCCCGCCCGACCTGGAGGATTCACACGACTCCGTGGCCTCCGGGGAACACAGAACCGAGAGACGATGGGCGATGCC